ACGCACTTAGCAACTTTAATTACATTCAACTGCATCATTAATAAGCAATGTAGCTGCTTGGGAGAGAGACGTGCGGCGTACTTTAAATACCTCGGGAAGACGACCAAAGACACGTATGTAATTTAAACATCACATTCGCGCTCTGAACTAACGGAGTCTTTTGTGATGAACTACATTCATTACTTTAACATTGCGTTGTTTTATCTTGTTGAGCTTGAAATTCGTATTCATCTCATCTGCGTTATGATTTCTTGCCGTGTCATTTGCCCTTTTTACGTTTGTGCTTTTCTTCTGTCACTCGTCTCGATTGAAAAAGAGGCCTGCACTCTTAATCGGTTCTCACCTGGTTGAAAACATCTGAGCTGGGTTCTCACCTGGTCTAAAACACCTGGGATCTCACCTGGAAGAAAACAGCTGAGTTGTCACCTGGTAGAGAACACCTGACCCGAGTTCTCGCCTGCTTTAAACGCCTGGGTTCCGCGTCTGAATCAATACGTTTTACAATCTCCCATCAGCCAGCCCGAAGCTCGGGTTCCCACATCTGTTGTGCACACAATCTCGGACGTGTGAGAAGGGAAATACAGTATCTCACAACCCCTGAAGAGGGTAGAATGACAAGTGAATGCATTTCGTCGAGTTCTGTAGTCATCGGGGGTTGTGTCATTACGCAACTCGTATCAACTGGGACTTGTAATACCCTCGGAAGACTTCCACAGATTTCCAAGGGCAGCAGCTACCTCTATAAGATGATAAATCCCTGTGTAAACCAGGACAGGTGGCAACCCCCTAGAGAAAGCTTGCAAGAGTACATCTGGCATTAACACTTCAATATAGCGAGTTGTCTCATTAATTCAGCGAATCCAATTGACGTTTTTTCTTGTAAATCCAACAGATTTAAACATTAATAACGAGCTACTTAAAACACGTTTTAACTTGCTTCTACGGTAGTGTTTGTTCGACGTGAATGCGGGGAGGGGCTGGGGGCGTAGAGCCTCGGTTTTCAAAATGCCATCACCAATTCGCCCACCCCCCAGCGAAGAGCATGTTCTTTCATGCAGGTTTATTTCAAGACCATTGGCTGAATAAAATGAGTTGTTGGTCATGCCCCGGTATGTTGAGTAATATGTCGCTTTTAAATCCTTTATATTAAGTTCACTTGCGCGCTTGCTTGCGCGCATACGACCGTGCAAATCTTTCGGTCGTTTTTTAACCCACTTCCCGTGATCCAATCCAGCTGACATTTTGCAGACAGACTCGTTGTGCGTGACAATTTATTTTCGTGAAATTTTTCCCCCAAAATTTTCAACATTTTAGGAATGTTTTTTATATTTAATTACCAATTGCTTAATGGTGGCAGGCAATCATCTGACCCATAGGTGCCAGCCATCTCAAGCCAGAGGACGAGAGGACTCTAGCCGCCACGCATATAAAGGATTTATAGTGAAAAACTTTGTTTTTACGGGTTAATTTTTAGTGACGTGGAAAAACAAGAAAACTGCTTTTCATTTACGTCCTTTCATCGTCGCACGTTTTTGAGGTACGCATCCCCGACGTAAAACGGGGAATACTCGTCCATTACAATCGTTCACTTGACCCCCCCCTCTCTCCCACCAGCGACCAGAGGCCGTTATGTTCGCCGACATGTCAACAAATAATACATGCGCCATGTGGTTGTTTCTCGAAAGGAATTGCAACCTCTGAATGGCGATCGCTCAGGTGTTGTGGGAAGGGGGTGATCGTTTCGTCAGATCGAATCGGTGGGTGGCGGGCGGAGAAATGTTCGGCACATCATGGACATGGCCTGATACGAGCAAGATCCATTAAGGGACTTGATAATAAACCACAGGTACTTGGCATGGAGCAACCAATCTATTAAAATCGATCCTCACACTCCGATGCGTGCGTGCAATAAAGCGTCTGAGGTTCGATTTTTTCACGATGAGTGCCAATTACGTGCTGATCACATGGCAGCGTTACCTCGAGGGCGATTTGGGATGAACAAAAACAGCACAAACGAGACGGAACAAATGAGAAACGAGACACAAAAGAATCCGGTAGAACCTCTCTTAACGGCGGTGATTGGTTCCACGAAACCGTTCGTTAAGTAATTTGGTCGTTAAGCGAATATAGGAAATATACGTGAGAGGCTTAATTCATTCCGATAGCATCTAAAGTTACCACTTTTCACCCAAAAAGTACTTTATCATATTTAAACAATGGATATGAATACACAAAGATACTAACAACATTATAAAACATGTTAAAAGAAACATGGTTAATCAACGCATCAATTTATATTTTCTGTACCGAGAACAGCCCGTCAACAGGGGAATGGTCGGTAAGCGAACATGCTGGACTCCATGGAGGCCCATCGTGAAGCGATTGGTCGTTAAGAGGGGTGGTCCTTCATAGGGCTTCTACTTTTATGGATATTTTTAAATATATTGGAGACCAGCCATGGATTGTGAGAAGTCATCGAACCGAGGATTGTGTGAGTTGTGGGCTTGCTGCATTCTCCAGATCTTCTATTCTGTCCTCTTAACTGAGATATTGTACGCTCTGGATTATTTCAAGTCAAGAGTTGGGATGCGTCTTATAATAATATGGTCGGTGTGTGTGTGCGTGGGACCACATTTGCATACCTTTAGTATCGGCATCGGGCACGCGCTTTGGGTGCGTCTTACTCTTCCCGAGATTCTTATCATCGAGATAATGCGGTGCACGTTAACAGCAGCCTCACTCTCCCCACCGCACCCCAACTTTGATATAACAAATTTCCTGCGGAGAGAGCTGGTAGGAACGTTGGGTTGCTCGGTCAATGGCCAGGGTCAACGGCGGCGTGGTGTATTCCGCAAATATGACCGACTGTGAGGGCGGGCACAAGCCGGCGTGAGTCGGTTAAACGTTGAGTTTTATAAGGGCACCACGGGGTGACCAGCCCCTCCCCTCCCCACCCCTCCCACCCCCCACCCAGCCCCTCCCCACCCTCCCCTCTCCACCCATTTTTGGATGCACGACCGACGGACGGACACAATAATCCCCTGTGGCCTGGTGTAACCAGGAGGTTCCTACCAGTATAATCCAGCAACCTCTGGGCGTGACGACGACGAACTCGGCAGGCAGCACTTTCTCAATCGGCTGGTCGCAAGGACTTCATCGCTGATTATCTGTCGGGTGACTTGTGTTGATATTTTTAGCAGCGGGGAAATTGGGAACCGGAGCGACGCTGTTATTAAAATGTTTGCTGCCTGGCTACAGGAGGTTGGTGTGTGTGGGTGGGTCGGGGGGGGATGTCTCGTTGGTGGTGGAGACGTAAGGGCGGGATGGGGTGGGGGTGGGGGTGGAAGTGGGTTAGAGGGAGATGGGTGTGATAATCATCATATCACAACCAGAGATGGAATGCATCATTGTAATCATCAGAAGCAGCTGCATTTGTAGAAGTAGGAGCACGTGGGGCAGCACGTGACGAAAGGTCGTCGTGGAGAGTGTCGCCTGATGCCGCTACGCCCTGCCATCGCTTCCCTCCCTTCTGCTTCAGTCCCTTCTGTACTTACCAAGACAGCTTACAAGCCAGTCTCACACGAGCCCACCCATCCCAAGACTACCCCCCCCCCACCACCACCATCTGGCTCCGCGTCGTCACCTCGGTCGCCAATTTCGAAATTAGAGGTGCGGACGACAGGAACATTCCCAGCAGGGTCGCCAGGCTGCCAGCGTTCGATTGCGCACACGCGCGGCGCTCGGGGGGGGAGGGGTGGGGGTGGGGGGGAGGGGTGGGGGTGGGAGGGGTGGGGGTGGGAGGGGTGGGGGGGGAGGGGTGGGGGGGAGGGGTGGGGGTGGGGGGGAGGGGTGGGTGTGGGGGGGAGGGGTGGGTGTGGGGGGGAGGGTGGGGGGAGGGTGATTGCTGGGCAGCCACCCGCATGGTCCAGCAGTGGAGAGTTTCCGCCGCCCATGAATTTCTCCAATCATTGTCGCTTCTGTCCAAATTGCAGCAAAGCGTGCGGTCCTACGCTGCGGGATTGGTCAGTCGGTGGATCACTATCATTCGGGTAAAGTGTGGCTTTAGCAGCGGGAGCAGGGGGAGCGGCAGGACCGGCAGCAGCAGGAAGAGCAGCAGAAACCGCACGAGCAGGAGCAGCAGCAGGAGGAGTAGCAGCAGGAGCAGCAGCAGTAGCAGGAGCAGCAGCAGCAGGAGGAGGAGCAGCAGTAGCAGGAGCAGTAGCAGGAGCAGCAGCAACAGGAGGAGCAGCAGCAGCAGGAGCAGCAGCAGCAGGAGCAGCAGCAGCAGGAGGAGGAGCAGCAGCAGGAGCAGTAGAAACAGCAGGAGCAGCAGCAGGAAGAGCAGCAGCAGCAGCAGCAGCAGGAGCAGCAGCAGCAGGAGCTTCCATCAATCCACTCACTGCTGGATGAAGGCATCCATCCCTAAGCCGTCGCCATCTCTCACAGTCCTGCGATGTCACAATCCACCCGGCACCCAACGCACGACGACGATTTCATCGCTCCGTGGAGGTCCCCTCAGACGCGGATTCCCGCCCGCTACAAGTATGGGTACCACCCGACCCAATTCGGGTGGTGCATCTCGCCAGAGTGGCGAGATGTTAACTACCTCGCCAGGGATACAGGAGGTTTGTGGGTGCGATCCCGACCGTGACACCTGCCGTATATTTGGAGTTGTCTCTCTCCCCGTGATGGCATGGATTTTTCTCCTGGGTCTTCCGTTTTTTATTCACTTATTACAGTGAATTTGGCTGTAACGGTTCCACCTGAAGACGGAATCTTGTGCTGCTTCCGAAACGTCGTGATTTTATTTAGTAGTTATATTTATTTATTAATTTTTACCTACGTGACTTTACCGAAAAAAACAAAGAGTATTCCGCAACTCTTGACGTGAAGGGCCTGTCTTTGTCGCTGTCCGCGGTGCTGACCGATACAACTCGCCGTTTTCAGTGCTGCCCGCTGGTGCAAACACACGGGGCTGTTACGTGAAGATACGAGCACTGCACGCACACATTCAACAGCCTCTGGTCTTGACAGTACTCACCCCCCTTGTGTAATGCAGTTTTATTTTTGATAACAAAATGCAATACGCATACACGGATACATACATACATATACGTACACATAGCCGGTTATATATTTTGTATTTCATATCGTATATGCTTTGAATAATTTATATTAAATGACGTATATAAACTCTGACAAACCGCGGTTTTTTTTGTTCATTTAAATAACCTTCCTCTAGTTTAGTGCACGCATCGGGTAACGTAGAATATTGCTATAAAATCCCGCAAAATCATCGCTACCATCGTCAACGTTCCGGTTACCCAGAGGCCCCTTTGCTGAACAATTCCCCGCAACAACAACAACACAAATGGTTGGTTACAAAATGATGATCGGGGTGAGGCAGCCTCCCTTGGGCTCCGGTGGTTATCGTCATCCGCGGTCCTAGCAGCGAGAAACTAAACTCTCCCCTCTCTTCTCTCCCTCTGCTACGTTTGTCCCGGCAACTGTGGCCAGGCTCTGAGCAGGTAATTTCACAGCACATCAACCACCGTCTTGCCTTTTCTTCTCACCATATTGGGGGTCGGGTGGGGAGGGGTGCGAGAGAGCGACAAACACGCAAACAAACGAACGAACAATCGAACAAAGAGAGTAGCGCCCGCGTTGAAAAGCTGCGCTAGTGGTCGAACGGGCGTTAACTTGCATCCCATGCAGAATGTCCTTTGGCATGAATGGGAAGAGGTGGAAGAGAGGGGGGGGGGGAAGGGGTCGTTACCGTCTCGTGTGATTCTTCTCGGATTCACGAGGACGGAACCACGCTGGAGAAGATGCCGCGTCTGTAGACGGCGACGTTATTATCATTTTTTGAAATTATCATCATTATTATTACTAATTTTTTTTGCGCTTAAGAAGACTCGGTCCGGCTGCACCGTCGCCGTCGCCGCGTGTGCCATTGCCGCTCGCCTTGGCCGCGACCGCTCGCTCTCGACCTGAACCCTCCGCTGCCCCTCCGACGAGGCGACAGCGGGGGGTGGCAGTAGCCGAGCGCGGGGTCAAGGCGAGCCGCGGGGTCAAGGCGAGCCGCGGGGTCAAGGCGAGCCGCGGGCGGGCGGGCAGGCGGACGGGCGGGCGGAGGAGGCAGGCGGAGGGCCCCAGGGGCTGCGTCAGAAGTGACCGTTTTTGGAGAGATAGGCGATGAGCGCGACGGCGAGGCCCACGTAGATGCCCGTGCCGATGGTGATGGAGAGGACGGCGAGGAAGAGCGCCCGGCGAGATGACGCGCTGGCCTGGTGGAGCTCTCCCTTGACGATCGCCCTGCTCGTCTGTGTGGCGCGTGCGAGACGGAGAAAAACACCACCACGCACACAGTGTCGGCAAAGCCTGGCCTGCAACCGATGAGTGCCACGTGGTCAAAACTGTTGCTTTTTGTTTCCCCACGAACACATTCAATTCCCGATGGTGGGCGTAGCCCTCGTGTGTGCAGGTGGTGGTGCAAATTCACCAGGGCCCACAGTTGCCAGAGGGGCTCCGGCACCGGGGTTACGAAGAGGGGGGGAGGGAGAAATTGGACAAGGGCCGGTTCAGATAATCGCCGCACGCGTTGACCGCGAGCGGGGATCGAACTCGCTCGTGTTCGTGTTGTCGTGCTGGCAGATTTTACCCGGCGGGACAGGCAGAAGGCGGCGATTCCTAGCGGCCAGAAGCAGCAGAGCATAGTGAAGACGGAGAGGCTGAGGTGGTCGCGCGGTGGGAGGGCCATGAAGTGGTCCTCGCTCTCCGTGTCGCTCGAGTAGTCGCTCTGCGGGGCACGGCACGCGCCCGGGGGGGGGGGGGAATCGGCACGCGTCACGCGCTTTGGAATCGCTGACGTCGTCGTCATCACCGTCGTCATCGTCGATGTCATCGTTGTCGTCATTGTAGTCGTCACAATTGTCACCATCGTGATTTTAAACATGGCATTGTCATCAGCATGAACAGGTTATTATTATTATCATCATCTGAATAATGTGTCGTTAGTATGATTACGAACAGGGCACCACCATCACAACCATCGTCATTTTGAGCAGGGCATCCTAATCATTTTTTAAAGAAGATATCCTCAACATCATCACCATTAATAATTAGAGTACAAACATGTCGATATGATCATCATCGGAATAACGAAATACGACATTTATAAATAGGTCATCAATAGAGTTAGAAGACAAGGCACGTGCATATGAAGCACGATTTCTCCGAGCCAAGTTCAGCCTCCACCGGTCACCGTTCTCCTCTGGTCACTTGTCAGTCGGACAAGGAGGCTGCCACTTCTGGCATCTATCGATCAGCTGACACGGAGCCATGGGCCACATGCTGCCCACGAGGCATAGGCTCGGTGGTTACTGCTTAAACCAAACCATGGGAACGTCGCAATCGATACGTGGGGATTTGACCAAAAGAAAGCACTTCACCTGAACACAGTTGCGCCGTGTTTGTGTAATATCTATTGAGCAGAGACATGTGTGCACTAAGGAAACAAAGAGTGGCTTGAGATGGAAGAGATGAGATTACGGAGATGGATGTTGGGAAGATATCTTAAGCGAAAGGAGGCGGAATGAACAAGCTGGACCCTTAGCAGGGATTAATAATATTCTAAAAAAGGCAGGAAGTGGACAGTAGACTGAGATGGTGGAGTATGCGTTGAGAAGAGATAAAGAACATGCAACTCGAAGGGTTATGGAGAGTAGAGACCCATAGACTCGTACAGAGGCCCATAGACTCGCACAGAGACCCATAGACTCACACAGGGGCCGATAGACTCACACAGAGACTCATAGACTCACACAGGGGCTGATATACTCACACAGAGGCCCATAAACTCGCACAGGGGCCGATAGACTCACACAGAGACCCATAGACTCACACAGAGGCCCATAGACTCACGCATGATGACGTAGATTAGAAGGGATATGGGGATGCCACCGGTGCAGAGAAAGAGTGGAGGGAGAGAGGGGAGGATGCCGTGGAACGAGGACAGCGGATGAGACGAAGCACAGAGTGGAAGCTCGTGGAGCAGGAAGCTGCGAGCATCATGTCCCTATGCAGTCATTGGGACTTCTGGCTTCGAAGTGGCGTTTTTTTTCCCTCCGGGTATAATACAGCCAATAAACACACGTCACGCTGCGTAATGTGCCGTGAGTGACTCCAATCCAAGCGATGCTTTCTCTCGTCTCGGTAATCCAATCTTTACACGGCACCCGACTTTTATTTATCAACGTGGGCCAACCGTTGATGATGAACGCGCCGGTAAATTTAAAACCCCGTGAACATCTGCGGCTATCGTAATTGCGCTGTGAGAGTATCATTACTTATTAACTTTATTTTGTGTCCCACTCCCGTCGTAGAAACGCCCATTGTCTCTCCGCCGGTGGGGGAGAGGGGGGGATACCTTCCGACGTCAATCGCGCCCAAACATTTAAACAACTTTGAGCGGAATTTCCCCGGCGCGTGGGGCGCGTGGGGCGATGGGAACGTTTCCGCTTGAAGGCAGCGCATCACACGTGCCCCCTTCTCTTTCTCCTCTTCCTCCTCCTCCTCCTCGTCACTGCAGCCGCTGCTGCTGCTGCCGCTGCCAGCACGGTCGCTCGTGGACAGCGGAGAATCGGCGCAAGCGGAGCGCCACAGAGGGCCGAGTCACGAAGTTGGCGCACCCCGGGGGTTCGCACGCACGGACCTCGTGCGCTTTTCAAATTACAAAAATATGTAAATATAGAAATATCTCCCGCGACAAAAACAACGTGGAAATATTTTTTTTTTCAGACACTTTCCGAGCCGTGGAACGAATCCGCCTTCTGTCCGGCGCAGGGAACAAAGTTCAGAATTCTGAATGAATTGTTGTGATTTTTAAATCCCAAGCACAGGCCTAAAACCCCAAGTGTCTAACAAGAACCCAGTACTGTTACAGTTGTATTATGTTGTACGCATGTGTGTTGAACTTCTTTCGCACCGTACGTAGCCAATCGTGCTAATCAGAGGTGTGGGGGGGGGAGGGAATGACAACAAACTAAACACCAACAACAAGCAGTTCTGACGAAATGAGTTTTCAATTTTAGATTGATGTAAGATTATTTAGTTGGAATTGAGCATGGCTTGCTTTGAGAACGTGAGAAAATGTTACCGTTGAAGGGAATTTCAAAGTGGAGCAGTCGGGGTTGAAAAAACAGGGATGAGAAGCGTGGTGAGTCGCTATGTGGTGAGTGGGTGAAGTGTGGTGAGTGGATGAGTGGGTGAAGTTTGGCGAGTGGGTGAGGTGTGGGTGGGTGAGTGGGTGAAGTGTGGTCAGTGGGTGAAGTGTGGTGAGTGGATGAGTGGGTGAAGTTTGGCGAGTGGGTGAGGTGTGGGTGGGTGAGTGAGTGGGTGAAGTGTGGTGAGTGGGTGAGTGGGTGAAGTTTGGCGAGTGGGTGAGGTGTGGGTGGGTGAGTGGGTGAAGTGTGGTGAGTGGGTGAAGTGTGGTGAGTGCATGAGTGGGTGAAGTGTGGTGAGTGGGTGAGCGATTGAATCGGTGAGTATGGGGAGTGGTAATGTGACGATGAGCGCGCTGCTCTACGAACTCGGCGACCCGAGTTCGATTCCTGCTATCGGGCAACAACAGGGACGATTATCTGAATCGGTCCTGGGCCTCCCCTAGATCGACTCAGCCTCAAATGAGTGCCTGGTGCGGTGTGTAAACATCGCCATTGGGGAGATAAAGGCGGCCGGGCGTTGTGCTACCCCCCCCCCCGCCCCCACGTGTACCGTGCCGGTCTTCATAGGTGCTCGCCAAAAGCGCTTGCCCTAACAGTCTGTTAAGGCTATACGGGGGAGGGGGTGAATGAGTAGGTGCAGGGTGGGCGAGCGAGCTGAGTATGTGAATAAGCGAGTGAGACTGTTGTGACCTGCAGTGGTCGAACGCAGTGTTCTGTTAGACCGCGATCTCATCGTGGTTGAAGGAATCAACGAGTGGCGTTCACGGGACCAGTGGCCATGGTGGTAGTAGAAGTAGTAGCGAGAGAAGAGTGATACAGCGGGTGACTGACCACCGGTGACCGAACGACCACGGTCATTCCAGGCCGCGTCACGTCGAACGGAACTAAATGCCTCTCAAGCCGTTGTCACCTGTGCACATTTCATTGACACCTGTGGCATTGCAGATTGCGTGGAGCTTCCTCTACCGCAGGCATCTACGCTGCACACTCCCTTTCTCCTTGTTCAGGTGTTTTGCCCCCCCCCCCCCCACTGACCCACTATGCCTATGGCAGTTTCCGTCCCTATTTAAAAGAAACATTCTCACTCTCGGCAAACATGCAACGTTGCGCCAACCTTGGCACGTGGTTGGAAGCGTTGGCCCAACAACGTTCACATGTTGACTGGGCCGTTGTGTACAACAGCAATGGGGCGAGAGTGTCGTCGGGTCGACGGTGCAGAAGCGAGGGCGCCGCAGTGGTGAGATGTTAGCTACCTCGCTTGGTATGCAGGAGGTACGTGGGTTCGATCTCGACCCTGGCGCCTGCTGCTGAATATTCGGAGTCTGCGTGTTCTCTCTCTCTCTCTCCGTGGTCGTGTGGATTTTCTCCAGGGTATTTGGCTGCTGTACATGTCCACGCGTTAAGCGACTTCGTTGAGCTATCATTTGTGGCCAGGTCGCTTCTGAAAAATAGCTGTATAGCTCAGTCGCTATTACCAAGTAAACATAGTTGTGTTTTTACTTTAGTTGAATCTACTGTTGTACTGTATTATTCTCCGGCGTCTATGCTCTCGCACTGGCCAGCGTGAAGCATAGTCAAATGAACACCACTACCTGCACGGCCTGGGGAGGCCCTCATCCAGCAGTGGATTTGACTAAAGGGCACTACATTAAGATAAATTGTCAGTGTTAGTACACTAATCATCGTACGACCCGTGATGACTTCCTACAGAGAGGTGAACCTTGCTCGCTTTATCGCCCATGAAAGCATGATGGGGTGGGATCGCTTTCTCCGAACGGGGGATTGAACTCTCAAGTTCTCCCACCCTGCAAGTCGCGTGCTCTGCCCACCGAGCGGTGCAACTGCGTCGGACGTGGCGTGGATTAATCAGAATTCTCTCCAAGCCAAAGTCCCTTTGATCTCGCTGTGCTTCACTAACCGCGCTAATGGCATCATCGCCTACTCCTGGCATCGAACCCTCGATTAATCAACCACTCGCTCTGTGAGCAGACAGTCGAGCGCACAATTGAAACCAATTATATTAGCGCTCTGCGAGTAACATTATTACGATTGACAGCAATTCCCCGCTTTACGTCGGGGAATGCGTTCCTGAAAGATGCGACGACGTATATCGAAACGACGTCCGATCAAAGGCGATGTCCAGGAGCAGTGAGGTGGAGGAAAGACGAAGGCTGAGAGGGTGGCAGATAACGATAAAGGACGGACGACGATGATAGTGATGACGATGCCGTCAAAGACGTAAGTGTGTGTGGGGTGGGATGAGAGTGAAGCAACGCAAATCAAGTAGCGGTGTGAATAATAAAGTAACGACGTTAACGGGAGCGAGACGTAAATCGGCGTGTCGCTGTCCGAGACATATGCGGGGTGTCTGTAACCTCGGGCGTCATTTCTCACGCGATATTTTTTTTCTTTCCGGGACGACGCGAGGATGATGTGGAGTAGTAATTGGCGACGTAAGGCACTGCCACTCAGAGCACAAGGCACACGATGTCGCGAGAACTCCGCCGACGTTATTTGCGAGATGGATGTGTGGGCTGGGTGCCAAAACGCAGTCATTCCCCGGAGCAGCGTTCTGGATTGCTGCCGGCTGAAATTACGAGTGACCAAATCACCCGGAGTGTGCCCGGCCTCATCACATGCTGTAAGCTAAGCAGGCGTTTAGCCTGGATAGTGCTTTAATTTGGGCGACCGCAACGCTTTGAAACAGGGGTTCTAGTCCTGACACAGGCTACTTTGTCAGCAGAGGGCAGTGCTGAAGCACGAATCGCATTGTTGTACCGTACTGTGCTACCACGTTGACCAGCGGGGTGAAGTATGGTTAACCATCTCCCCACCACGACCGCGTGGGAAAGGCCCTCAATCCAGCAATGGATTAACACAGGGGCTGTGCTTGTAGATAGAGCACGGTCGGGTTTGCTAAGTGGATGGTAATTATCAGTTTCGTGATGGTCGAAGCTCATCTTCCAATTTAATAGAATACTATAATCATTTGCTTTTGAGTTACGACATTCATCTGACCCACACCATAAGCGGAGCGCGCGCAGGTGGCGTTTAACTCCCACGCCGTTGAAACGGAACGGTACATTGTTATTTAATTCTGTGTGTGTGTGGAGGGGTGGTGGAGGGGTGGGGGGGCACTCCATAGCGGGTTATAAGACACATCTTTCCCAATCTGTATTGGAACTAGAACGAAAGAGGGGATTGTGAGCTTTAGATCCCGGTAAGCGTGCGCGTGCGTGGTGTTTGTGACAGGAGTGTAACGATTTGCGCGCTGCGCTACGAACCCGGGCGAAGCGAGTTCGATGCCCGGTCACGGCCAACACCAGTGACGGTCCTGGGCCTCCCCTAAGTCGACTCAGCCTCAAATGAGTACCTAGTGCGGTCTGTGAAATCATCGCCACTGGGGAGACAAAGGCGGCCGGGCGTGGTGCTGGCCACCCAACCCCTCGTGTGCCGTGCCGGCCTTCATACGTGGTCGTTAACAGCACTTTCCCCAGCAGTCTGTCAAGGCTACACGGGAAATCTTTGTCTTGTGTGTGACAGAGCCGATTTGTAAAACTTTTTTGACACTGCAGCACAAGTTTCTGGTGGGGGTGGAGTGGAGGGTGTTTCTTTTTTTTTTTCCGCAGCGTCTTATAATCCGGAGGAATAAGCTAGCCACGTGCGGCCTCTGCGTTCCGAACTCATTGAGGAATTCATCTGGGTGGCGTTGTCATCAGCGTCACTGCTCCCGTGCTGTTTACTGGGGCTCTTGCGATGTGGGGGTGCGGTGGGGGGAGAGCCCTCATCCAGCAGTGGATTGACAAAAAAGTGTTGGGGGCCTGCCCATACGTGTGTACTACCACTACGACAACAACAACAAGACGTGGTGCAGCTGTCGTAATTCGTCTCAATTAAAAGCGTGGCAAATTAACCGAGGGCTTAATTTCTCGCTGAATGTGTTCCAAGCTGCTGGTAGACTGCGTGGGGTAGCCATGCGATTAGTATCAATAGCGAGTTGTATACTGGACGTGGTGTATAATAATATAAATAAGTTAACAATTTACAACGCGTGCATATTCACGAAATGGCAGTGTTTACACGTCCAGAGCGCGGACCGGGAGACGGAATTTCCTCCCCAATTATTCGCCGGGACCAAAACCCCCGTAAATAAGAAAAATAAATGTCAGCTCTGAATTCACTTCAAAGGTGCTCTAGGCGCAGCCATCCAATTCCCTGCTCACGCCACCGCCGGGAGCTCGAGAGCGCTCCTCTAAGATGGCACATTGGCCTACTCTTCCACGCCGGCCAGGCCACTTGGAAACAGCGGGGGTGCCCACACTTTAGCCCGCCACGTGCACGGGAACTGACAGTCCCAGCGTGCCGGACGCATTCATTCTGACAATAGTTTCAGAATTGCCGCGCCGGGTAGATACATCTCTGAATTATCGTCTCGCGTTCCAATGGCTCCGACCGCTTTGCACCGTCACGTTCCAAACCGCGCAGCGCGAACACCGCATGGCAAGCGAGAACATACCTGGACCCCGGTCGTGGTGGCCTCCCGTTAAGGTCGACTCAGCCTCAAACATTGAGAACCCACCTGAGCGCGGTGTGTGTGTGCGTGACGTGCTACGGTACAGTCGACAACAACGCGCAACGAGAGAGAGCAAGAGAGCAATTTGTGGCGATGGGGGGCCTTACGTCGAGCTCGTGGAAGTTCTCGTCTTCCTCGTCCGTGTCGTACGAATCCGTGTGCACGTGGGCATCGCTCGTGGCCAGCCCGCAAAAGTCCGGCTCGGGCAACGCATCGGCCGGCCTGACCCGTCCCTCGCTAAACGTTGTCTCGCAGCACTCGGCCACCGAATCTTTGTGCAGCAGCAGCAGCTGCGGCGGCGGCGGCAGCGGCGGCCCCTGCTGCGGCCGCGTGCCCATGAACCCCCCGCCTGGGTCGGTGGCTACGGCCGCCCGATGAGCGGCAAAGGAGGCGAAGCCCGGGCCGTAGTAATACGCCTCCATCGCCTTCTGCAGGGCGCGGGGGTCGAGAGGTTGCACGGTTTTCTCGTCCGCCTCCTGCCGCCAGCGCTGAAGCGGCTGCTCCTTGTAGAGAGGGGCAGGGTACCGCGCCGCGTGCGTCTGGTCCGAGCCCAGAGCCTCGCACTCCGAGCAGAAGCTGCGGTGATCTTGGTGGGGCCTGCTGCTGCTGCTGTTGTTGTTGTTGATGAGGATGGTGGTTGCCATTATGGCCCAGTGATGCGCTCCGAGTGGTGGTGGTGGTGGTGCTGTTGTTGTGCGCCATGGCAAGCGAAGGAACGTGCCTCGTTACCGAGTGCGGCGCGGACAAGCCCAGAGGGGGCTGCGACGTACGTACGTTGAACTTCTTTCGCGCCGTACCTAGCCAACAGCGCTAATCGGAGTCGCGCGGCGGAGAAGGAGCGGGTAACGGAGGAGACAGCCGGATCGTGTGATCGCGTCGTCCTATATTCGCTTTTCCTCTCCCGTGTCTCCTCCCCCCCCCCCCCGCGTTGATCCGCTCCCCACCTTCGGGACGCAACCGCGCGATGTTTTCCTTGCCGAGGCTCGCGGGCGCACGCGGCCGAGATGACGGGCGGAGTGAGGAGCCGCGGTGGGGTGCCTCGAGGTGAGCTTCGCGGTGCGAGATGCACGATGGACTCGTGCCCGTACAGCGCAGATGAAAGAAACGAGACACCCCCCCACCCACCCAGCTCTCCCCCCCTTCCCCCCGGCGACGGTCTCACTTCTTTAAGACGCCGATGGCAACGTGGCTGCAGGAGATGACGAACGGGGGCTATTGGCTACCGGGTTATTGCGGTGAGCACCAGGCGCCCCCCATCCTTCGCCGCCAGCACCAGCATCAGATTCATCGTCAGCATGGCCAACAGCGGAACAGCGTCCTCTATTTTAGCCACATTGCGGGGAATGCCGCCGCGCGGGCAGCTGTGCGAGGAGGCGCCTCACTCAGATGCGTCTGAATCCCCGTAGCTGGGAGCTGGAATTGACACCGCCTCGGGCGAAAGAGCGAAGTGGAGCGTGGCGATGCGTCGCATCTGCTGCTGCTGCGACGACGACGATGATGATGCTGTTGCAGTGGTGGCTGCTACCTCTGAAGTGGTGTGGTGGTCGTTGCTGCGGCTCGTGAATACTGCTGCTGCTACTGCTGCTGATGTGACTGCTGCTGATGTTACTGCTGCTGCTGTTACTGCTGCTGCTGCTGCCACTGCTGCTGCTGTTACTGATGCTGATATTGCTGCTGCTGCTGTTACTGCTGCTGATGTTACTGCTGCTGATGTTACTGCTGCTGCTGCTGTTACTGCTGATGTGACTGATGCTGATGTGACTGCTGCTGATGTGACTGCTGATATTACTGCTGCTGATGTTACTGCTGCTGCTGTTACTGCTGCTGATGTGACTGCTGCTGCTGTTACTGATGCTGATGTGACTGATGCTGATGTGACTGCTGCTGCTGTTACTGATGCTGATGTGACTGATGCTGATGTGACTGCTGCTGCTGTTACTGCTGCTGCTGATGTGACTGCTGCTGCTGCTGTTACTGATGCTGCTGTTACTGCTGTTGTTGGTGCTGCTGCTGCGACTGCCGGCTCCTATCGCTGCCTCTGATGATGCTGCTGCTGCCTGATGAACACTGCCTCGCGAGCGACAGCAGCAGCAGGAGGAGGAGGAGGTGGCTGATCCGGTTTCACGATTCTCGCTCAAGGAGCTTCGCGCTCCGAAACCATTCACACGCAGAGCGCGCCTCGCTGCATCTGTGTGGACGTGTGTGTGTGTGGACGTGTGTGTGTGTGGACGTGTGTGTGTGGATGTGTGTGTGTGGACGTGCGTGTGTGTGTGGACGTGCGCGTGTGTGTGGACGTGCGTGTGTGTGGACGTGCGTGTGTGTGGACGTGCGTGTGTGTGGACGTGCGTGTGTGTGGACGTGTGTGTGTGTGTGGACGTGTGTGTGTGGACGTGTGTGTGTAGACGTACGTGTGTGTGTGTGGACGTGCGTGTGTGTGGACGTGCGCGTGTGTGGACGTGTGTGTGTGTTGATGTGTGTGTGTGTGGACGTGCGTGTGTGTGTGGACGTGTGTGTGTTGATGTGTGTGTGTGTGTTGATGTGTGTGTGTTTGTGGACGTGAGTGTGTTTGTGGACGTGTGTGTGTGTGGACGTGTGTGTGTTTGTGGACGTGCGTGTGCGTGGACGTGCGTGTGTGTGGATGTGTGTGTGTTTGTGGACGTGTGTGTGGACGTGTGTGTGGCGTGTGTGGACGTGCGTGTGTGTGTGGACGTGCGTGTGTGTGTACGTGTGTGTGTGGACGTGCGTGTGTGTGTATGGACGTGCGCGCGTGTGTGGACGTGCGTGTGTGTGTGGACGTGCGTGTGTGTGTGGACGTGCGTGTGTGTGGACGTGTGTGTGTGGGAGTGTGAGCGCGTTGTTTGTGCGTGTGTACTTGCGTGCGTGGGTGTATGTATGTATATGTGTGCACGTGTAACAGCACTTGCCGCAACAGTGTGTTAAAGGCTATACGGGGGATCTTTGTCTTTATCGTACGTGCGTGTGAGTGGTTTTAGGGAGCGGTATTGCAACGGTGAGCGCGCTGCGCTACGAACCTGGCAACCCGAGTTCGAATTCCGCTCACGACCAACACCGGTGACGATTATCTGAACCGGTCCTGGGCCTCCCCTAGGTCGACTCAGCATTAAATGAGTACCTGGTGCGGTGTGTAAACATCGCCACTGGGGAGATAAAGGCGGTCGGGCGTGGTGCTGGCCACCCACCCCCTCGTGTACCGTTCCGGCCTTCATAGGTGCTCGCTAACAGCACTTGCCCCTACAGTCTGTTAAGGCTATACGGGGGATCTTTGTCTTTGTTTGTGATGGTGGGTTAAGACGTGGGTGCAAGTGCACGAGGCATCTTGTGTTTGCTTGCGTGTGAGAACGTGGCTTGTGTGTTGGATTAGGGTGTGTGTGTGTGAGGGTGGTTGTGCGTGTATGTACGTGCGTAGCGCTAATGTAGTGGTTAGCGCGCTGCGCTACGAACCTGGAAACCCGGGTTCGATCCCCACTCAAGGCCAACGCCAGTGACGATTATCTGAACCGGTCTGGGCCTCCCCTCGGTCGACTCAGACTCAAATGAGTACCTGGTGCGGTGTGTAAACATCGTCGCTAGGGAGACAAAGGCGACCGGGAGTGGTGTTGGCCACCCACTCCTTCGCGTGCCGTGCCGGCATTCATAGGTGCTCGCTAACAGCACTTGCCCCAATAGTCCGTTAAGGCTATAGGGGGATCTTTGTGTTTTTTTTTCATCTACGTACAAGTGTGAACATGTGGGCATGTGGGTGGGAGTGTGTGTGTGTGTGTGCGAGTTGGTGTGCATTATATATGTGTGTGTGGCTCAGTGACAATGGTTGGTGTTTAAAACAACACCCTCGCATTTGAATTTATATAGCGTCTAAATGCGACCGCATCCCAGGATGCTGTCGACAAACAGTGGGCATGTTTATTTCATGGATGAGCGAGAGGAGGAAGGGTCAGTCCGTTGTCGGCAGAGGAAGCAATGCGGTCTTGAGCCTGGTCTTGAACAAGCGCAGAAGAAAGAGAACAGAAATTGCGGTGCCACGATGGCGAAATGTCAACTACCTCTCCCGGTATACAGGAGGTCGTGGGTTCGATCCCGACCCAGACGCCTGCTGTGTATATTTGGAGTTTGCGTGTCTCTCTCCCCGTGGTCGCGTGGGATTTTCTCCGTGTCTTACGGTTTTTCCCTCGTTTAGAATCAACATCACGTGTTTACAGTATTTTTCGGCTTCACATTTCCACGCGATAAGCCACTTCGTTCATTTGCGGCCAGATCACTTCTGAAAAAAAGCTACATCGCTCGGTGAGCCCTACCCCGTAACAAAGACATTGTTTAGTTTCGTTTTAGAGATATCTTGGGTAAAGGGGTCGAGGATGAAGCATTTTGTGTTTATTTTTCACTGTCCTTCCCCGCACCTCCGACGAGCACGGTTGCCTACGTACGGTGTGAAAGAAGTTCAACGTAATTGCGTACAAAGCACGGGAGGTTTCTGGGAGAAAGACGGAGAGACGGCCCTTGCACAGCCACCGGTACAGAAGACGTGGTGTTATGTACGCGAAAAAAGGCAGCTGTAATCTTAAAAAAAAAAATCCTACATTCATTTCAAACAATATTTCATGCAGCATGCATTAATGTGCAGGGAAGTCAGTTTCAACATTTGTTAAGATAAATGAAAAAATCCCATCCAGGCGCTCCTCGACTTAAGAACATTCGACGTACGAACACCCGCACTTACGAACAAGCTTCCATGACTTTCTTCTTTCACGTTGAATTGAAACGCGAACCCACTTCCAAATTGAACCGCGGAACTATTTTGTTCAGCGGAGCCATCCTCTGCGAGATGTAATGAGTCAGCCTGTGTCCTTTGTGCATGCGCGTGCATGTGTGTGTGAAAGTGAGTGTGTGGGGAGTGCATCAGCCAGTCATCTCGGTCATCTCGGTCAGTTGACCCGTGGCACCTGGGTCTGCCCCGTGACCTCCTGCCAGCGGGCGTTCGACACTTCACGTGGCCTCAAGGTGCACATGGCCTGGCACAAGCGTTGTGGTCACGTCACCGCCACTTAGTGGCGAATGGCGGTTGTTGTTGTTGTGTGGGGAGCGGTAGTGTAGCGGTTAGCGCGCTGCCCAATACAAGCGGGGACCCGAGTTCGATTCGCGCTCACGGCCAACACCAGTCATGGGCCTCTCCTAGATCGACTCAGCCTCAAATGAATACCTGGTGCGGTGTGTTAAGTCATCGCCACTCGGGAGATAAAAGCGACCGAGCGTGATGCTGGCCACCCCCACCTCACCGTGTGTCGTGCCGGCCTTCATAGGTGCTACTCGCTAACAACACTTGCCCCAACAGTCTATGGATGCTATACGGGAATCTTTGTCTTGGTGCGTCTATCTATGCATCTAAGTTGGCCCGCTGACAGCACTTGCCCTGCAAGCCTGTACACGTAAACGAGGGATCTTTATCATTCCACTGTGATCTTTACAAATCAATTCGTACTGGGAACGAGCCGGATATCCACGCCACTTTGACATCTCGGCTTAAATATAACGTAACAAAATGCAGCAAAAAAATATATACTTTGCCTATTTTTTTTATCATTTTTGCTAAATTGGGCCAATCTATGATGCACACGTGGATATTTTGACACCACTCAATCGGAATACTACATTTCACGAAAAAACAATATCGTTGCTCCGTCTTATTTACCCCAAAAAAACCACGATGAGTCTCGAGACATCGGGCAGATATGTTTTTTGGCGAATTTAAATGTATCCTCAAAGACAAAGACCCCTCCCGCCCCCCATATCGCCTAACAGACTTGTTGGGTGCAATTGCTGTCCGTGAGCACCTCAGAATTTATCCTGGAGGAATCCTATGAGCTGTAAAGCTCTTTTTCACAGATGTCCACCTAATGAAGGCCGGCACACACACACACACACGGCACACACACACACACGGCACACACACACACGGTACACACACACACGGCACACACACACACGGCACACACACACACACACGGTACACACACACACGGCACACACACACACGGCACACACACACACACACGGCACACACACACACGGCACACACACACACACGCAGATAAACCTTTGATCTCTATCGCCGAGCCG